TTTATCTCTGGTTGGCATGCTACTTATGATCTGGTGAAGGTCAGATAAAAATCCAGGCACTAAATGCAAGTTTGCAACTTGAAGGGGGAATCTTTGTCCTTTACAATATCTATTATTTTATCTCCATGTGCTTTTGTTATCCAAAGTTTCTGCCATTTTTATGCATCTTAGTGCTTAGTGCTGCACTAAAATCACTGTCTTTTTAGCAGTCTGAAGTCGTCATGGCTTTTACCTTACGAGCCTTATTAATGAGATCCGTCTAGTTTTGATGTAAATATTCCAAACAACTAAATCCTAATCCTGGGTTTTTGCTTATCTTTTATATACCTGTATCTTATTTTGTCGAATTATGTACATTGGTGCCCTTTGTTGAAGACAAATTTTAAATGAATAGACGGCTATCTCTTTAGTAGCTTAGACTTTTAAATAAGATGTCACCCACGTGGCATATTAGACATGAAGAATCAAATAGCAATTAACGGTTCTAAGTTGAGCAGTCAAAAAAAAAAAAAAGTAAAAATCTTGTACATTTGTATGTATAGTTCTGTTAAATAATTGTTTCCGAGATTATAATAGTACATATTGGAATCTTTATACGTGTATATCTGTGTATTTATATTTATTCTTTCTATTATGGAAAAATGAAAAGTGCCAATTCCCAAGTACCAATGGATCCTCTTCTGCCATGAAATTTTGTACAATGTATATATTCGAAAAAAAGGCTATTGATACTGAATAATAAAGCTAATCTAAGCTAAACAACAATGGAGGTAGAAGAAGAAGAAGAAGAAGAAGGCCTGGCAGACTGTGCAGTTGTCTTTTTCTGCTGTTGGGATTGAGAAATCCAAGCCAACCACCTCTTTACAACCCCCTCATGTCTCTGTCCCTCCCCTTGCCTCCCATTACTTCTGTACCTACTCACTCCTGTGATTTCAGACACGCTTCTTCCATTTATTACTCCTCTACTTCCCTCCGCCGTATCGTTTTCATCTCTGCCGCTTAGCCGCCGCCCTGAGAAACCGAGGCTTTCATCCACTCCCAGAATCATTTCTGATCGCAAGAAGAGTAAATCTGGTGGCTGCACGTCGCTCCAGCGGTAATCGTGGTGATAATTGCTGCTGATTTCCGGGGCCTCCCCGGTAATTATGATCCTGCGGTCCAGACGATGCTTTTCAACCTGCTTCTGCTTTTCCAACAGCATCCCGTCTTTTCGGGATTCATGAACTAATTTTTTCTTGGATTTTGAACTGTCAACTGATTTGCTGCCCAATTCCTGCCTGGAATTCTCCGCTACGCTGTCTTTTCTGCTGGACCCAATTTTCCAGCTATCCAGTGATCTTCTGCTGGAATCCTTACCGGGGTTTTCGATTATAATTTCTAATGACTGCCCTCTTTCACCGGCCGATGAATGCCGACCTGAAACTCTCGGATTAACGAATTCTTTCCCCTTCTGGGTAGGAGACAGTAGGGCACTGCTTGATTTTTCATTAGACTGATCATGATTATACAGAGATTTATTCTCATAATCAACCAGAAGAATGTCTTCATGGTCGACCTGGTAACGACAGAGTGGACAAGTAGAATGAGCATCAAGCCAAGTATCCACACATTCAACATGGAAAGCATGCTTACATTTTGGCAATAATCTGAGAACTTCAGTGGGTTCGAATCTATTGAGGCAAACTGCACATTCCAGGCCATCCTTCTGGCCCATCAAGGATTTGAACCGGAATATGGGTAGTGATGCAATCACTTTCGGGTCGATTCCTGAATTTTTCCTTGCTACCATTGCTGATTGAGAGTACCCTCTGGAGTGATTGACATGCATACCCCTTTTACAGTGCTTCACATATAGAAGCAACAGAAAAATGATGGTGAAAATGGTTGTGAGAACTCCAACAATTACGGCCACTCCAGGATTAAACAGCGGAGCTCTTGATTCGGAAGATGGTGGCAAGGGTGGCGGAGATGGAGGTGGAGGATTTGTTAATCTAGTAATCTTGCCAATGTTATTTCCATTTTCGTCTTCTAGTGTAACTAATGCGAGTGTAGATGAAGAATAATTGTCAAAAATAGGGAGAATTAGAATGAAGAAAAAGAACCAGAAATTCAAACTGTCCATGCTCTGGAATGTGAAAAAGAACGGATTTATTTAGTGATTTTTCGGAGAGGAAACACGAAATCTAATGGCATTGGGTATAAAATTTGGAAATGGCATGGATGGATGGAGTAGACAAGCTTTTGCTTTTGTTAAAAGGCACAAATTTCACTAGTGTTATTCACAAAATAAGGTTTTATGTCTGTATATAAAATATACATAGCCGCCCCCCCGCCTTGAAAATTAAAATTTCCATAATGTTCTGCATTCAATTCTGTCAGAGGATGATGAGTAACCAGACGGGATCTAATCCTCAACCACAACTTAAACCAAGCACTCTGCGTGTGTGATATAATAGCATTGAAGGGACACACACATGGTACAAATTAGTTTCCCATCTACACTAACACACATTTAGGAGGTTCTCACTTCATTTTCAAGAATACCGATAAATTACTTGTACATGGTATCCGCATCATTAAAGTATTTAACCTTAACGTTATAAATAATTCATCGAGCACCTGTATACTGAGTTGAGTATGAAATGAGTTTTGTTGAGATATGTCGACTTTTGTTTTGACGCTTGATTGCAATTAAATACTTGAACGTTCGAGTATTCGATAAATAAAGATAGCTGAAAAATATCTTAGCAATTCCATCGTGTACCGATTCTATGCGGAATATTTATTTGTACTAATTTGAAAATGGAGATGGAGTATATCTGGCATTTGTCCTTATTGAGGGCAATATCATTGGCTTCCCACATGGGAGATTCTTCTCGATTTGGAATAATTGTAATTGCAAAAATGAATTTCACGATACATTCTTCAATAACTACTATAAACATGTATTCCTTGCTTATTACTATGTATGATTGTTAATTAATGACAATATGAATTTCTAATAAACTATATGAACATAGTTTTATTGTACCAATATTCTATCTTTTGATTTCATGCTTTAGTGGGTAGGATAAAAATGTTTCACTGCTCAGATGGTAAGAGAACCTTACATATACCATAGAACCTTAGAGAATCAAAAGTAAGATTTTCTTGTCACATCGGTTCTCTTGCTATATCAGCAGTGGAAATTTTTTTGTCATGCTTACTAGGGACTGGAGATTAGGGCTACCAATATTCTAACGTAAGAAGTTTTAATGAACTTCAGTACATGCAAAGTGGATTTTAAGGGAAGATTTTTCATTGAATACTTATACCAACAATTTTTTACATTTTAAAGTCTTTCATTGCCTAGTATGAAGTAAACATCTTTAAAAAATCGAAATATTTAGATGAAAAAATTATGGGGGTACGAACTTAAATATTTTCAACAAAATTGCACAACTAAATTATTTATACATGTTGTTCTCAACTATTTGTCATAACCAATTCTTTTGATTTGGATATTGGATATGCGTCGGACACTGCACCAAATGAAAATTCCTAATTCCTTTCGACTTGATAATCAATGTTCAAGAAGTGTCATATCGCACCCCAATTCATTCTATCACATTTCCAATTCATGGACTTTAAACATGCACAAAATCAATCAAATAATAGTATCCTTCCCTAAGTAGGACATTTAGTAATACAATGTTGTCTATCATATGTGTTCAAAGAATTTCAGGTAATTCTCATATTTTCTGATTTCTATCACATTAATCATGTCATTTATGCTAAAATGCCAACTGTGGAAATTTATTAGTGTAACATTAATATGGTAGAGTTTAAGATTAGAGAAACATTATCGCCCACCATTCTTATTTATGTATCGCATTCTAAATCCATTCCTATTAAAGTTTTAAAATTTTTAAAAAAAGTACTATATTCATCCACATTATATTCCAACATTATCTTATCCTTATTAAATTCAATTAACTAAACACTATATATTCATAATACTTTTATATATCTATCATCCTCAAATCTATCCCTATTAAAATTTCGGAAAGAAAAGAAATCATTTTCTTCGGCTGAAATATGGTACTCTCTCCGTCGTATTTATATAGTCTGATTTTGTTTTTCACATAAATTAAGAAATCTTATTAATATCATTGAAAAAATAATTTTTTTCCACATTTTTTTTTCTAGTTTACCCTTATTTAATTTTTAACAACTTGTAGTAAATTGGGTATAATTACACAAAATTAAATAAATGTATATTAATAAACGAACAAAAAAATCAATCTCAATAAAAAAATGGACTATATAATTTGGACAAGAAAATAAGAAAAGTGAGTCTATAAAAATGTGATGGAGAAGTATGTCGTATTTCTTCCGAAACGCCATTACTATTGCTTGTTTTGACTTTAGATTAGGGTTTTTGTTAAATGTAAGTTTAAAAGAATATAAAAGGTCCAAAAATATTAAGTGAGGATAAATATTAGTAGCAAAATTTTGGAATGATAATGGTTTTATTCATATTTATTTAAGTAAATTTACATAAAATTTAAAATTATACTTAACTAAAAAGCTTTTAATAATCACGTGAGGTGTCCTTGTGAATCAAAAAAGGGGCAGGACCCAGCCCGTACCCATTTCTTTGGCGCAGGCGGTACAGGTTCAACCCCGTTGCTAGTGACATCTATATTTCGATCTTGAATTATAGGCAGCATCTTAAAAGTAAAAGCCAATTTTCAGTTCTGATCGCATTGGAAAATGGCGAATTCTGGTATTTTTGCATCATCGATGCAATTCCTCTTTGTCACCGCCCTCTTATGGGCATCATTTTCCGTTCCCGTCGATGCAAAACCCAAGTCTCCTGCAGCTTTTGTCAAGAAGACCATCTCTTCTCATTCCGTCGTCATCTTCTCCAAATCGTACTGCCCGTATGATCCTTTTCCCTTTATTTGATTTTTTTGTACTTTTGAAACTATTTTGTATTTTAGGTTTTCGTGCTCTTTTTACACTGTACTATTGTTTCTTTGGTTTAAAATTTGATTCGAAGATAAAGGGTTTTGATTAATTTTGCACGAATCCGTTGATTATTAGTAATGAGCTGTGTGGAAGTAAAACTGAGTTAATTTTCTGATGAAATACTTAGTGTTGGATAGTTACAGTGTCTTTGTATCCTTTGGGATATGGAATTGAATTATTAGAATTGAAATCAGAAAATTCGGATTGAATCTGTGTTGATTTTTCTCTCAGTGCTGTAGCCTTTTAACCGTTTTTCAGTGAAAGGTTTTGAATGATTCAAATATGTACTTAGATTAATGCACTAATATGTTCAAAGCCAAGAAGGGTATAGGGTAATAAATGTATCATTAATTTAATTGTTCTACTTGCTCTTGTGCCCATATATGGAAAAATCATGTAAATTCACAATTCTTCTGGGCAAGGAGGATGATGCTGGAGGATTAGAGGCAATTATGGTATTGAATATGAAATTATAGTTGTTATTTTTGAGAGACCTCGCTTTGAAAATCATCCAAGGATGATGAGCTCGCTTATTTTTCCAGACTTTCTAAATTTCAGTTAATGTGTCAATACCATTCGGAAAACCAGCTGGCAAGCGATGTGCACCAGGCAATTTGACCTTTCTGACTTAACTAACTTGAAGAAGTTGACAAGTTTACTCCTGTTCATGTACACAAATGTACTGACCAGAAATAAACAGGTCGAATGCACCAACTTGTTTGAGCTGATTCTATGTACTTCATCAGCTCGTTATGACATTGTTTTCCCTTTTTGATTTAGCATTTCTATCAAAGCCTTTATGTGCTGTATGATGCTTGTAAGAATCCAAAATCGGCAGTAATGTACAAACACTCCTGCTTTTTTCTGTAAACTTTAATGTGCTTGGTAAAATTTCATACAGTGAACCAAAGTTATGCAAGAAATGCCAGTAACATTTTGAGGGAAGCTCCAAAAGTTGGGGCTAAACTTAGCTTGGATAGGCTGTTTTCAATCAATTTGATTCATTCGTAGTAGTTCCATCTCTTAAACTTATTTGACTTAAATTTTTGGAATTTTTGACAAAACTAAGAATTCTTGAAAAACTTAAGATGCCCGAATAATTTTTTTCTTTTTTACCTATTAATAATCATAATTTTGACAGTTATCCTTTCTTAAACTTAATTTCTTATAGATACTGTAGACGGGCAAAGGCTGTCTTTAAAGAGCTGAAGCAAGTGCCATATGTTGTTGAACTTGATGAGAGAGGTTCGTCTCTATTATTTCTCCTTTTCTCCCATATGCTATTGAATTTTCTAATATATTAGTACCTGCACAATGTGGAATGAGGCAACTGAACTGTAAGGACTGGCAAAAATTTCAATGAATCAACAATTATGCGAGTTAGGGAGATGAAGAAAATTACATTTGAATAAATCCCTTATCCAATTGGTCCTGGCTGGTGTTGATTGTATTATTACATACCTTTTCCTATTTGAATTGCTGACTTGCTGACTGCATACTATTATGTAGGAAGCCCACACTTTTACATTGAAATATCCATAGATTAACCTGGTTCCAAACATTACTTATGCTATCTAAGTAGATGAAAGAATAATTTGTACTAGGGTTCTTCAGTAAAATTAAGAAAATGAAACCCTTATTTGAGGGTGGTGGGTGGGAATTCGACAGAATTACCCCATGCTGGAACTTCGTGGACTTTGTGCAGTTTCAAACTTTGTAATAAAATGCAACCAAAGGGAATTTTCTAATGTAGGAGAGTTGCTCTCTCTCTCTCTCTCTCTCTCTCTCTCTCTCTCTCTGAGTGTGTGCATAGTAGCTGCTAACTTGCTACTATGTTTGGTGAGGAAGCAGAATATGCACTTGGTTGTTNGGACTTTGTGCAGTTTCAAACTTTGTAATAAAATGCAACCAAAGGGAATTTTCTAATGTGGGAGAGTTGCTCTCTCTCTCTCTCTCTCTCTCTCTCTCTCTCTCTCTCTCTCAACGTGTATGTTTATGTGTGCAGATGACGGTGGAAACATTCAAAATGCCTTGAGTGAGATTGTTGGTAGGCGTACTGTACCGCAGGTTTTCATTAATGGAAAGCATCTGGGGGGCTCTGATGGTATCTTATTTCTCATGTGCAACATGTATAATAAATTGTCTAATCGTACATTTCTTGTGTAACGATTGAGTTACTGGTTGCAGATACCGTCGAAGCATATGAAAATGGAGAACTGGCCAAACTTCTAGGCATCGCTACAACAGAAAAGGAAGATCTTTGAGCTAGTGATCACTCAAATTTTAAACGAAGGAAATTATAATGTTAATTGAAATTTTATCTGGTAACCATTTAGTTGAAGTATGGTTGCTGAATCATGTTGCATCTTACTTTCCTGCTTGGTACTTTTCATTTACTTGGATTGAAAGATTCTTTTTGAAATGACTTATTACAGTCTTCCTTGTCAATTTCTATATAATTAAGTAGATTAGCTTGTGAACTAAACGATTTTAGCC